GGGTATTTTTTAAGCTATTTTGAACTTTAGTTGATGAATTTATGTCAATAATACCTGTCCAAAAAATCTACGTACAATGAACGTCCTGAAGGGATATTCACTGGTATGTAATACTATGCTATTGAAGAAAGCAGTACTACAGAATGGTTTGTCTTAATTTTTAAGTTACAATTATAATTTGGGTATTAAATATGGAGTTGGAATAAGTGTGTGAGCGTGATGTTAGAGATCTAATTAGCATAAAACTGCATAGTCTTGTACTGGCTATCCTGTATATCGGTTATATTATTTTGTGCTATGATATGTTATTTATAATCGTTCGTTTATTAATTAATAAAATAATAATTGCAAACTCACACAATTTACGTAGGTATACTTATTCTAACGTTAATTGTTTCACCTTTGCACACAATATTGTTGCATAGAAGGTATTTTTATGTTTATAATTATATTTTTTTCCATTTAATTTCCTAGATCTATATTTTTATACTTTGGTACTTAACACCCACCGTGTAATAGTTTCCATTCTTCCTACCACTTAATAATTCAACATAAAAACTACATTTATCGCTCCCCGTTTACTCCAGTAATTTTGAACCTACTTTTTTTTATATATATATATTTACGTGATTACTTCTTCTTTCCAGCAAGTGGGAGTTCCCATACCTTTCTATATCTACTTCATAGTCCCCCCAGGACAATTTCTGCCTCCATTAACATGTATTTCTAGACTTCGTTTTTAATTTTATCTTTCTTTTGTGATTTTTTAAACTTAAGTTTATAATCTGTTTGATAAGCTCCTCTCTTGATATTTTGTCGTTTTTCTATGTTGGTTGCTCTTCCTAGATGTAACAGTGCCTTACTCTTTCCGCAAGTTGCTCTTAATTTTTCTCCCAGCTCTGCACACTGATGTTTTATCCACTTGTTCTCTTTTTCTTCTATATTAGTTACTAAACTTCCAAGCTTCCGCTTATGCTTCTGCCTTTATATTCTTGATCTTCTGTAACTCTTGCATGTCAAATTATTTCTTTTTTTTTTTACACCACTTCTCATACTTACTGTTTATTGAAATATACTGTTACCGTCTGAGGTATTATTTTATTGATTATTTTTTGTAAAAATAATTATCATTTATTAATTCCAATCGTCTTACATAAATTTTATGTGCAAAATGTCGTGCGCAGTTACAATTTAGAACTTTGCGCTTGATAGTTCCGCCTACCACTCGCTAGTTGGCAACTACTAGTTTCTGGTAAATCTAGCAAGTAATAAAGTAGCTTATAGCTTATAAGAATGGCTGCGCGACTTTTCGAAAGCATTCACCCAGATCACCCGATCTGATTCCTATGCTAGGTTCTTGCTCGCTCGGCGAGAACTACGCTATGGCAGTGGCTAGAGCGCTTAACTATTTTAATAAAATACTAATGTTTAATACCTCGTTAAGTGTATTGAATCTTTTTTTAACCTACCTTGGCAAGCATTATCTACACCCCCTGGAGCTATCATCCAACGACTGAGAGAACCAAACAAGTACACTAGTTACGGGTCTTCTCGACTGCTGCAAATTACCGCCCAAGCGCCCACCAACGGCGCGGCGCCAGCTCCAGTGATGGCATTAGAATCCAGCAGAAGTACTGTTCCACCATGCCAAGAGGCTCTAGCGCAGGGTGCTTACTGTCGCTCGATCTTGTTAGTCGATCTGACCTCAAAGACGACTGTCACCAACCCCTAACTCTCTTTTGCTGTTCCAACCGAAGCCCGCTTTTATACTGAGGTCACTGCTTCTAGTATCCAGTTCTTACAATCAGTAATGAATTTCTCCTTTAGCTCTTCTATCCATATTCTCTTCTTTTCCCTCAGCTGATCCTCATTTTTCGGATTTCTCTTTTTCTACTTGCTTAGTCACTGTTATCTCCTTTAGCTCTCTGGGGGCGTATGGTCAGATTCTATACTCTTATCTATTTTTAGTTTTTCCATACCGTCATTTACTTCTAGATTTGCTATTATGTAGTCAATAAATAATCCCTGTTTCACGTCGACATGCGTAAAGCTCCCTCTCTTGCCCTTAATGCCGGTTATTATGCATTATCTCCTTCGTTTAAATCTGACTACGAGAATTTTTTCCTGTGTGTCAATAGTTTTATCGTCTAATTTTCTTGAGCTATCAAGTTTCTTCTTTATTGGCTTCCCCTTCTTTCGCTCCATCCAGCTATTTTTTGTCCTCCTGTATTTTCTCCGCATTAATCTCTCTTCTCTACTCAACCCAGTAATGTCATCGTCTGTTGTCGATCGTAGTTGAGGTTACAGAGTATGCATGGATCTGTTTTGTTGATTTTGTGAAGAACACTGTCTACTGTGATGTAGTTGAGTACTGTGAAAGAGTTGCATTTATATTTCAGCATCTAGAAACGGACTAAATTGTTTAAAAAATCAGGTCTGAAAGATAATATATACATATGAATAATATAGTTATTAAGTAGATGTTCGACAAAACCATGATTTTTAAAAGTTTCCGTGGTCTTATCTAGATCCCCCAATGAGAAAAATAAAAAAATACCATTGCATTCACAGATCGTGATAGCAAATTTAAGTATGTTTTCTGAATTATTGATCAGAAGATCTTTTTAGTAAATACTAATATCAAAGTTATAAACAGACTGATAGTTTAATTCTATAATTTCATCGCATCAAGTTATCTTTAGTTTATTAAATGTATGTCTTTTTTTGTCATTTTCATGTATGAAATACATTTTGTAGTATATAGAAATACATGTTTAGTAACATATATTCCTTCTTGATTTCATACAAAAGGTCATAAAAAATTTTTGACTATTACATTTTCTTTCGAAGTTTTGTCAAAATTTTAACATGGTTTAAAAGTAACTGTTTGTTAAATAATTTTTTTTCAAAGGGTGAAATATCATAACATATATAGAACTGACTGCTTGTTGGATATTAGTTACTCTAATTCTTTAGAGTATTGAAATTTCCATAACGAGCTTGACCTTGCATTTTTTAAATACTCATTGCTTTAGTACTTTTTCTGTAACGTACACATTAAATGTTGCACAACAAAGCAAATTTTTACAATATATAATTAAATGTCTAAAGTTTCTATTACAAAACAGGAGATGCTTGAGACTTGCATTGTTTTTACTAGAATGAACATTACAATAGAGCATGGATGTTGTCAAGAAGCATTTAACTGCCTCTCTTTTCATAAGCAATTTTACAAAAAAAAATAATAAAATAATTTTTTCCAAAAAGTTTTACTTGGTAAGTTACATGTGGTTTCTCCAAAAAATTAAAGAAGATTTTTTTTTAGGATTGTGAGTTATATTTAATACTTGTTTACACTTTTGTTGTACGATGATTACAACTGGGATAAACTATATAATTAAGAAAAACTACTTTAAATATTTGTTATGTTTATGTTTAGTCTCTCTAAGTGTGAAGTTTGTTTTGTGCAAGTGCTAAAAATACATCTCCTTAAATTTTTATTTCGTACTACATTCATATGTATAAAAATGGCACGACATGCTAATTGGTGCACGCGCTCTACAGAATATTTGTTTGAACTGTTTGGTAAAAAAATTTTTAAATTACATTGTAATTGTAACAAACGTGACAAACCAACTGCAAAACACTTCTTTCATTGCCTTGCGCAACATAGTAAATTTTTTAAATTTATTGTGTTGCACATGTGTAATTTATTATTTCTCAATGCGTCAGTGTGCATGTACTTATGAGTAAATAATAAAATATTTTCGGAATAAAAAAATTTCATAACAATTGCAGTCTCACTTATTAAATATACCTTTCTTATAACGGAGAAACCGTGATGGGTCAAATTTTTTGTGACCCTTAGAAGCAAAAAGGTAGTTAAAAGACTAAGTTACTAAATTTATATGTTGTAGTTAAAGTTAAATAGTCAGTCCGCCTATTTCTTAAAATGTCTGAAAAGAATATGTTTCCAACAATCAATATTAGGCTAGTCTATCTTCAAAAATCTTTTAAAACTATACTTGAAGCTTAAGTTACTTAAAGCATTGCAGTGTATAGATCTTCCGATGAAAAAAAAAATAAACGCAGTAATTTATTAATTTTTTTCAGGTATTATATCCATATTATGCAGTCCAGAGAAGATTAAAGTTTCCTACCTCATCGATTAGGTGAATGTGATTTTTTAGGTTTATAACATTTTTTATCAAATAACTAGCTCTTAATGAGAAAAAAAGAGTTGACGCACATTCTTAAAACTTTTAAGGTTAATTTGAGCCTACACCCAGTAACATTTATGAAAAAAACCAGAAAAAAAACAAAAAAAAACGTGAAATCAGGCTTTCAACGAATGGCACAGTATCTGATTTCTTCCTTTTTTCCTCAGACTAGAATGCATTGTACTCAAATGATTTTAGATTCTTAAATTTTTTAAGCTTTATTTTGGTAAAATTAATCATGATTTGAAATTAATAGATAGAATTATATATGATTTGGAAGCGATAAATAGATCGTCGAATCATGCGTTGTTTTTTTTTAACATCTGACTTTACGTCTTTCTCATATAACTTTAAATGAATCTCGTTGAATCTGGGCTTGAATAACTCTCAGAAATGTGAAGAATATAAGTCAACTTTTTCTTTTCTCATGAATAGCTAGTTATATGATAAATAATATTATACGGCTGCAAAAGTATATCGACCTCATCGATAACTTAAATTTTCTCTGGACTGCCCTTAAGAATATTGAATATAATCTGATGTCCCCTGTAGTATCTAAATCTACGAAAAAGTTGTTTTGGTGTTAAAGTGTCGGAAAATTTTTTAATTTTACTTTTCTGTATTTTTCCAACTACTAGGCTTCAAATTGAGTATGCACAAAGTTTCAATCCTTCAAATGCATTTACTGATTATGATTATGTAAACAGTTTTTATGAGTTCGTCATATAAAAAAATATTAATCCAAGGATTACCTCTCACCAGCGAAATATTTTTTTTTAGGTGTGCGCATGTTAGATGGTGCAGTAAATGACGCAGTAGAAGCGCGTGCATTGGGCTTGAATCCGGATCATATAGATATCTACAGTGCTTCTTGGGGTCCAGAAGATGATGGAAAGACAGTTGATGGTCCAGGGCCACTGGCAAGACGTGCTTTTATTTATGGAGTGACTAGTGTAAGTATATTGACTGTATGTGAAAATAATTAAGTGTATTACCGAATACATTCTTGTAACCGTGTTAATATTACTTACAGTTTGCAATCGTGAATGCATATTAAAATATGTCATGATATTTATTCCTCTGCTACATTCGTTCTTATGAACTATAATAATTACTCATGTCAACAATAATTTTTGTAGTAGTGCACATTTTTTTGTTAAAATAAAACTGTTAAGTGATAAAAAGATATAATACAAGAACACTGATCGACAATTCCTGTAACAGAAGAATTTTACATAGCTTGTAATTTTATTTTAGATTTGTACAAGAATAACGACTTTATATATATATATATATA